TTTTTGGTATTCCAGTACGTGTCTCTTTGCATGCATGCAGGAGAATTTCGGGCAGATCGGACCCCCGGCGGTAGATGGAATCTGCACGGACTTCTAAAAAAAGTGCGTGTGGATCTGTAGCGCTTGGAAGGGGTAAACGGATTGGCCTGTTATTTTTTTTTGGGGGGGGGAGATGGGGAGGGAAATAGCGGGTGTGTGTCGTTTTAAAGAGTTTTTGAGCCTGCTGTTTAAGGTCTGTGCTTTTGAGTACTGGCAAATTAGGATCTCTGGCAAATATTCTAGAGAGGCAAGATAAAGATTAAAAAATGGTACTCTAAGGAGTGGTAAATAACTCCTTAGTGGAATGGGAATAACTCTTGGGCTGTCCATTTTTAAATGCTTTGGTGTCCCAAGCATTACAGCAGGGTAGAATCAGTTGTATTGTGTGTTATATATTCCGTGCCTTCAGATGCATTTGATTCAATAGTAATATGCTAATAAAACAACACATTCTGTGTTTCTTGCTGACACAGTTTGTACTTGACCGGTTTTACTCTTTTAAATAAAGTTTTCTGGAGATACTTACAAAGTTAAGATATATTGGACTGTTAGAACTAGCTACAATCCTTCACCCATTTCTCTGAAAGTGAGCTCCGCTGAGCTTAATAGGGCTTAGTACAGTACTATGTATGCACATGTAAGCTTGCGGTTTAAATAAAGTAACTTTATGAAATTTTTTTTGAAAATAGATAATTCTATATGCATATTTCTGAGAGTAATTTAGAAATATGGGAGAAATAATCCAAGTAATCCAGTATTTTTCAGAGTAACTTTGAAATATGGAAGAAATAATCTGAGTAATCCAGTAGTTACTTCAGCCAATTTAGCATTAGGCATTTAGTATTTCTAAAATAACTAGGAGAACAACAGGTAGTCCTTGTTTCGCCACAGTCTCATTGAACAACTCATTGATTTAAAAAAGTAACTTTATGACCAGTCTTTCTGTTTATCTTTGCAAGTCTTTAAAGTAAAGTAAAGTTGAAGTAGGATTGTAAGCACTGTCATGATTTCACTTAGTGATCACTTTGCTTAATGACCAAGTTGCTGGTCCCAGTTGTCGTTTAGAGAAGACTACTGTAGAGCCTACTGTTTCAGCAAGAACTACTACTAAGTAGTGAGGGGTAGGATTATAACTCAGGCTGTCAAAGTTGTTGGTTTTGTGTGTGCTCTTCTTTGGAATTTGGATTTCTGCAACACTGTAGCATTAGCTATACAACAAGCAAATATAGGTGCTTATTGCAAATACATGGTTAAAGAGCCCTTTGGAATCTGGAGTCTTACTTGGCTTTTGCGTTCCATCTTAAAAGTTGTGTTCCAGAAAGTAGGTGCACAAGGGAAACACTGTATTGGATTAAATTAGAAACAAATTGATTTAATATAGTTAACATGATTAGTCTCTGTGCGATGAATCATTTTTCTTTCCTTGTGTTACAAATAATTATGACTGTGCATTTTAGAACTGCCTTAGGGCTTCATGCAATCCTTGATTTGCTGTTTAGGCAACCAGATTTAATTTAGTTTGTAAGAAGCTATTATTTTGACACTTTCTTATTTTGGAATTATCTAGAATTATATACAGTGATGGTGTTGTGTATATGTAGTCTTCGACTTACTACCACAATTGAGCCCAAAATTTATGTTGCTAAGTGAGACATTAGTTAAGTGAGTTTTGCCCCATTTTTCAACTTTTCCTGCCATAGTTGTAAGTGAATGGCTGCAGTTGTTAAACTGTTAACACTGTTGTTAAGTGAATCTGGTTTTCCCATTGACTTTGTTTGTCAGAAGGTTGCAAAAGGGGGTCACAGGAGCCAGGGACACTGCAGCCGTCATAAATGTGAGTCAGCTGTCAAGCATCTGAATGTAAACACATGACCATGGGGATGCTGCAAAGGTCATAAGTGTGAAAAATGGTCCTAAGTCACTTTTTTCAGTGACGTTGTAATTTTGAACAGTGACTAAGTGAACTGTTGTTAAGTCGAGGACTACCTGTATTTCTAAAATTGTGCTTTGCACCAGGGGTGAAATCTAAAATTTGTTACTACTGGTTCTATGGGCGTGGCTTGGTGTGTGGGGTAATGTGACTGGGTGGGCGTGGCCATTTTTTTCTTTACTTTTAAAACCATTTTTACTACAACCTCTTCGGCAAAGAGGTTGTAAAAAAATGCTTTCAAAAGGCTCTGACGATCCCAGCTGAGTTGCCTGATCGGCAGAGATTTTTTTAAAAGCCTCTGCCGATCAGGCAACTCAGCTTGGATCATCAAAGGCATTTAAAAGAAAAAAAGGGTTTTTTTCTTTTAAAAGCCTTTGATGATCCCAGCTGAGCTGCGCGATCATCAGAGGCTTTTTTTTTCTTTTAAAAGCATTTTTTGCCCGAAGAGGTTGTAGAAAAAATGCTTTTAAAAGTAAAAAAAAAAAAGTCTCTGATGATTGTGCGGCTCAGCTGGGCATGGGGGGGGGGGCAGGGATTTTTGCTACCAGTTCTCCGAACCACCCGCCTCCATCACTACCAGATCGGGTGATCCGGTCCGAACCGGGAGCATTTCACCCCTGCTTTGCACCCAAAGCTTTGTTAGGCTTGCAACTGCTGTCATTTTGACTGTCTATAGGGTGCAATATTCTTGTCTCCTGACATTACCATCAATTTTACTTGTTCATGTTATTGAATGTACAAATGATTAATTCTCTTAAGCAGCATTAGTGGTTCCCATTTGATTAGCCGATATTTTGTTAAAAGTACAGTGAAGACTGTTCTTTGCAAAATGCAATTGTCGAACATTATGATAAGTAGAAGGGTGTATGGTTCCTGAGGTATGAATGTCGTTATTAGTATGAAGATGATCTGCCTAATCTACTATCATACATCTTGCATTTAGGTTTAGAAAACAAGATCAGATGTGGTTGCTGCTGCTGTCACTTTCTGTGGCCATTAATTTAGCAAATCAGCTTTCAGCACTTGGTATTAATATTCAAGATCTCTTAAAGCAGAGAAGATAGTCGCTCTTTCTAGCACTTTAGAATAAATCCATAACTTCTAATACACAGATGTCAAACTCGAATGTGTCACATGATGTATTGTGATGTATTGTGACTTTTTTGCCTTTGTGGAGCTGGGGTGGGCGTGTCCTGTGCGTGACGCATCCAGCCCATGGGCCATCAGTTTGACAGGCCTGTTGTAATACATCTCACTTTGATATGTTTCTAAATCTTGCTAGAGTTGCAGGTCATATTGTTGCATCATAAGTCCTTGAATTACATCAACTACATAAAGGATACGATCAGGTTATATATCCATTCTTCTTTAGGAACTCCCTAGTGTTATTAGGGACGTAGTGGCTCAGTTGCTAAGATGCTGAGCCTGTCGATCAAAAGGTTGGCAGTTCAGCGGTTCGAATTCCTAGTGCCACGTAATGGGATGAGCTCCCATTATTTGTCCCAGCTTCTGCCAACCTAGCAGTTCAAAAACATGCAATAAATGCAAGTAGAAAAATAGGCACCACTTTGGTGGGAAGGTAAGAGCGCTCCATGTGCTTTCGGTGTTTAGTCATGCCAGCCACATGACCACGGAGACGTCTTTGGACAGCGCTGGCTCTTCGGCTTTGAAACGGAGATGAGCACCGCCCCCTAGACTCAGGAACAACTAGCACATATGTGCGAGGGGAACCTTTACCTTTATCTTTACTGTTATTTTACTTTTCAGTCTAGTTTCTTATGCCATAACATCTTATTTATACTTTCTATGCATTATTAAAATATATATTTTGAGGATCAGGATAATGCAATTGTCTACAGTTAGTCCTGTGTTTATTAAGTGAGGTTCCATTGTTCACCGTGGGCTGGGAAGTAAATGCCAGTTTCTCACAAAATCATTGTAAATTGTGGTCACATGACCATGTGGTGCTGTAAATGTGGGCCGGTTGCCAAGCATCCAAAATTCAGTCACGTGATTGCAGGGGGAGTAACACTGAACTTTAAAACTGGGGTGGGGGAGTAACTTTATGGTGGTCATTTAATTTGAATGGTTGCTAAGTGATCAGTTGTATGCTCAGCTGCTACTACCATTTTCTTAACTAAATATTGGTTAGTATCCAATCTAGGCTAGCCAACTGGTTTGGAGAGAGTGGCAGTGGTAGTATTTAATTAAGTACAATGCAATTAATTGAAGTAAGCTGGAATTAAAAAAAATCATGTAGGTCTTACTGACCTTTGAACAGAGTGAATTTGATTTAAATTGAGTTGATTTAAATCACAATTTAAATCATGATTTAAATCACAATTTAAATCATGATTTAAATCACTAGTAAAAAGGCTTGATTTAAATCAACTCAATTTAAATCATAATTTTTAAAGAGCAACTGTCATCTCTGCTACTCCTTTGACCCACTGTTGACTCACCGATAGTCCCAGTGTTGCAGAATATACAGCCTCATGCTACATAACTAAGCTCCATTTCATGCTGAATAAACTAAATTATTTATGTATCTTAAATAGAAAACTATCTTTCGATAGATTTTTACCCGAAAAGTTTTTTATTAAAATAAATTCGATAAAAATAAAAAAAATCCGATTTAAATAAAAAAAATCCGATTTAAATAAAAAAAATCTGATTTTT